CAGTGAAAGAATTTATTTTGAATATGAATTGAAACAATAGAATTAACCTACAACCTTGATCTAGTGTAGTGTTCATGTTGGACTTTTTGTTGCAACGGTTCAACTTTTTTTATATAGTTGAATATGTTCGTAATCGAAAGAGAAAAATTGAGTTGCGTAACTACTCCAAAACAAATATCAACATCTAAACATGTCTACTGGTTACACTGAAAATTAAATGAAACAGTTCAATACAGAGCTGACTGAAAATCAACCACTTCTAACAGTTCAGTCCATAGTTTAACTGATATACAAGGTTGCTTTCACGCTTTTTGACAATAATAGGATAAGTAAATTTCACAAACTGAAAGTTCTTCGATTCTAAAAAATCCCAAACGCAGAAAATTGAATCACGGGAATCCAGTGGCATTTTTCATTACCGCATTTTAGTCAACCAGGATTCCTGAGCGTGATCACAGAATAGCATATGCTGTGTCGTGATGGAGAATATGCTAGTCTTCTGGATATATACCTAACAACCAATCCAGAAATGTACACAGTCAAGAATGCAAACATGTCGCTACATCAAAGAAAGCAACATAGTCGTCTATAGCAAACAGCACTGCAATTCACCCACAAAATCATTGAGATATGTCTACCCTCTATATCCCTTGAGGACGCCGCTAACGAGCCATTAAAATAGGGATATGCGACAAAGAACGCGAAAACACCGACAAAGAAGGCGAAAATACCGCCAAAAGAAGCGGTCGATGTTTTTTCTGATATTACGTTTAGGATAATATTAATAGGCGTCGGACTGGGGGTATTAATATAAATTATCCATTGATATATTCTGTATGATGAGAAGATAATTAAAATATGGTGGAAAGTAATTTTGTTCAAATATTTCATTTTGGGAAGGACAATTTATATTTGAAATAGTTTTTTATTATTTAGAATTGTTACCTTCTACAGATCTATAAAATAATCAGAATATTAAATTTACAAATAAATACAAATGTAGAAAGGGCAAAAAGTTACTGCATTT